TGAATGTTTCACAGCTGACTCAGTCGTGGAAAATCAGAACATGGAGGGAGGAAGTTTTAGTTTTTACAAAATCTACTCAGTGCGGTTTATTTTTGGAGTTTTTTGTTTTGTTTTTTTAAATAAGACTTGTAGAATGAAGGAATTCAGACTAAATTTGTACAAATTGAAGCTTGGATTTGGTTAAATTTCTTAACAGAAACTACTTAATGGTGTCAGTTTGGTAATTTTTAAAAGATAACTTTCCTTCCAAACCAGCAGGTGGGTTTTTTGGGTTCAGATTCTTAGCTAGTAAAGAATTGGCACCAAACTTGGTACAAACATTCATGATCTCCAGTCCAGGTGAGCCACTCATGCCAAGTAACCACACGATAATCTTTTTGGGTAGAATTAAGATCTGAATATGGATTTAGACTTAAATCAGAATTAAAATCACCTCCAAGCAGACCAGAAATGTAGTTTAATACCAACTATGTGTCCGCCGGTATAGTCAAGGCTAAACACGGACCACAGTATAGAGAGCATGTTGATGTTAGCATTTCGCCGCTAGCAGCCTCAGATCCACCAACCCGACAGAGGTGGAGGATGGACCACCCTCACTAATTGAACTGTTCTGTCCTCCTCCAGGCTGAGCGACGAGGTTCCCTCGGTGAGGCAGACAGCCGTGACAGTTCTTACTCAGCTGGTGCTCAAAGATGTGCTGAAGGTCAAAGGCCAAGTCAGCGAGGTGGCGGTGCTGCTAATTGACCCCGAGCCTCACATCACCAGCCTGGCCCTGAACTTCTTCAACGAGCTGGCCACCAAGGTGCTCACACCCTCACACCGCCTCGCCGCAGCCTGAATAATTAGGCGGCTCTTTAACTGTGCCCTTTGTGTCACCCATCAGGACAACGCCATCTACAACCTGCTGCCAGACATCATCAGCCGCCTGTCGGACCCGGAGAGAGGCATGAGCTCGGAGGACTTCAATACCATCATGAAGTGAGTTCCTCCGTCGCAGGTCCTCGCCGTGCTGGCAAACCGGGACTTCTCTTAGGAGGGAAACTGGCAGGTTAGATGTTGTGGTCGTCCTGGGAGAGAAGACGACGTGCAGCGCTGATGGACGCTTCAATGATAGCAAAAGTGTTTGAACTGTCATGAAAGCGCACAACAAAAAGAGTTTTATCGGAACCAGAGTCCATCCAAGCAGCCTTAAGGAGGCTCAGCAGCTTCTAACTGCCCAGAAACTTCCACAAATCCAAAACCACGGTTTCCATTTGACACGGCACAGTTTTAAAGCAAACTGGATCCTGTGTACCTCCGAGTTTCCTAAATGTCGATCAAACTGAGAGCATTCCTTTGTCCTGTTTATTTTTATTCATGAGTGTTTATTTATTGTTAGGTGTTTTTTTTATTGTTACACGTGTGCTTTGATAAACAAACAAACTCTAACCTTTATTCCATCTCAGACCATCAGGTTCCTTCTCCCCGACCATCTCTTCAAACACTTTCATCATGAACTCTGGACATTTAAAATGATTTCTGTGAAATTTTAGAATAATCAGCAGATTGTCTGATCCAAGTAGAGTTCTGAAGTTTCAAAATATAACTAATATTTTTTTGAAAATAAGGGCATATGTTTCCTTTTGCGACCCACTTAATCGGACTTGTCACGTATGATAATAACATAAACGAGATGTTAATGATGAATCTGAAGTATTCCTGTGCTCCTTTTACTAACCAAAATTATTCACATCCTTAAAATTGTCGCTAAGTTTTGAGTAAACGCAGCTTCTTTTAAATTCCAGTTGGTCTTAGTACGAAAATGTTCTGAGGCGCTGTAACATGAGAGCGATGCGTGTGCTCAGAGATGGGACTTTACACGACAGCTGTATGTTTTCATATTTCAACTTGCCCATAATCAGTAATATTACGGATTCTGAATCAACGACATGATGAGAAATAACCGAAAATTTAAGTTGTTGTCGTTCAAACAGCCTCAAATTTCAGCATGAAAAAAAATCTGCTGAAATAGGATTAAAAAATAAAAAAAAAATCTGAATTTATTTGAGATTTTAAGTGGAAATTTTACAATATCTTTATAAATAAAAATTTTATGCTTTAAAAAATAAGGCAAATCAGAGATGGAAGAGATGAAATGATCCTTTTTTTTCTGCATGTTTCTAATTAAATTAAACTTTTTACTGAAATAACACATTTAATCCACCGTCTATGTTGCTGTGTGTGTCTTCAGGCAGCTGTTCTCCTACATCACTAAAGAACGACAGACTGAGTCTCTGGTGGAGAAACTTTGTCAGCGCTTCAGGACCGCTAAGTGAGTCCACCTCTTCTTCCTCCTCCTCCGACCCGCATCCTTTGTTTTGCGCTTTGTCTCGGCTAATTCCTTTCATTGTGTCGGCTGCGGGGGTGGGCGGGGGTAATTAGTGGGTGTTGTCACCGTGATGAGGGAGTTTGGTCGGCGGTTGGGCTCACCTCTCACCTGCACCGACATCCTCGGTTTGTCATGGAAACCGTCCTCCTGTAGGGAACAGTCGGCCGGCTGTGACTCATGCCTCGTCCACGCTCGGATCAGAGGAAGGACGTTTCATATTACACACTGGCAAAGTGAATTTAGATGTAAGAAGTTTGCCGGGAAATGAGATTTGCTCCAGATGTCAGTGCAATGCCAAGTTCATGAGTAATGAGCTTTTTTGTTGCGGCTCTAGAGTTTCGTAGCCGCTAATCAGGTTTGTGCTGTAATCCCGTCTGTCTGCAGGACGGAGCGTCAGTGGTGCGACTTGGCCGTCAGTCTGTCCCTGCTGTCCATGTGCGAGCGCGGCTTCAAGAGGCTGCAGGAGTGCTGGGAGTGTTACAGCGACAAGCTCACCGAGCCGGGAGTCTACCAGCCGCTGCTCTCCATCACCGCCAAGCTGCGACGGGGCGCCAAGCCCCAGTTCAAGGTACCGACCGGGACGGACCGCCAGCCAGGAGTCGGAACTCCTCCTTCTGCTTCCGGCTTCCTGTCACATTTTTCTTCACTGTAGGGCTCATTTTTACGGCAACACACAGTCTTTCACCAGTAGGATCATGAAACAGAAGGAAAACACACATTTTTTTTTTATTATTTATGGTACAAATATTGAA